AGATAGAAAAGGACTTCAAAAAATGATGTCTTGGTTTACAGAACTAAGCTCTGGGAGTATTGTGAAAGAATTATTACTGAGTTATTTTCCTTTCTCTATTGCTTAATACCTGTGATCCCGTAGTTCAATTTCTGTTGATGTGGTTTACTGAGAACAGATACTTTGTCGCCAGAATATTCAGAATAGTGAGAGACAGTATTCTGTCACCATTGGGGTTGTTTTATGTTCTCTGTTTTGCCTGTCCCATGCCTTGCAGTGACCTAGAGCTTGCCTGCTTTTCATAATAATAGCCTAAATTTGCCAATACAAAATATGTAAATAATAGCAATAGTAGAAGTTGCTGAAGTGTGGGAATATGAAATCTGGAAACATAACTGGTTTTAAAGTTTGTACAAGTCCTAGATTTCCTTCAGCCTTCTGTACTGGTCTGACCTTGATGCATTAGGCTTCTGAAAGCATGGGTGGAGCTTTTGGGATAGCTGGTTAGGGGTTTGGTGGCAGTGGTGAGTTTGGTAGACCTGGTAGCTAACACACAGTGTTTCACTCCTCAAAAACTTATTAAATGTACCAGGGGAAAATAGATATCATTGTGGATCTTACTCTCCCAGGAGTTGAACTTATTTTATAATCAATTCAAACTAGTTGGTAACAATTGAAAAGTCAATGAACCAAAGCATTTCTTAATTAGATAGTCCTTGGGCTAACTGAAGTAAAACTGGAATAGCCTAATGATTCATTTGTTCTCAAGATAAGCTGTGCATTCTTTATGTTAATCAAATTGCATTACACACTAGTGGAAAATTGAATTTGGCAAGACTTGACAGGCTAAGATTTCTTGTTTTGTACAGAAAATACGATAATATAACCGGTTTATAAAACTGAATACCATTTGAAGATTCAGAAAATGTTTTTGGCAATTCCACAAAGGAGCTTTTATTGGTTCACTCTTTTCAATTTGTTTTCAGTCCATTGCTTTTCAAAGTACTTCCACATTGGTCAAAAATTACTGTTCATTTATGTTGCTGTATGTCAAAATGATACTTAGGAAAATATTTTTGAGAGTGGGGAATATCCAGTAGAGAAGTGATAGATAATTTAATTCTGCAGTTCTTCCAATTTGTCCGCTTTAAATACACCAAGTCATTGAAAACATTCTACAAAAAAGATTATTGCCTCTTCAGCGAACACTTGTTGGACTATAAAATAACTGAACAGCTTTAAGTCAGTAAGTGAAAGTGAGTGTTCTTGGTTTATACATATAATTAGACATTTTGATGTTTGAACTGTAGGCATTTATGTTTTCCCTAAATGCAGTCTTATTTGTTTTCATTCCTATTTGTTTTCTTCTTAAGAGAAAGTCTGTGCATTGTGATTTCTTTCTGTGTCCTGAAGGCAGAGAAAATTTGTGTGTATCTCAGCTATATCTACACTGTTGAAGATACTTGCCCCATAGAGTAATCGTGGGCTCCACGGAGGGCTTGATTAACACCTCTGGGTTAACCTAGCCCTCCATGGTGCCTCTAACAATGATGTGCCCACTCCAGGAGATCAGGACTCCCCTGGGTGCCACGTGTGCCTCTGCGGCCCAGGGACACGCTTGCAACCAAGTAACAGGGTAGGGTGCTTGCGTCCCCAGCAGTTTGTTTTATTGAGCAAGTTGTTAAGAACAAAGCAGAGAACACATCTTAGATGCAGAGCCAACAACTGATTTCTAACTAAAATCTTAGTGGTCTAATCAAAGATTTAGTATTAGTCCAGACACTAACACAGTTCAAGTTACATACGGTTACAGTGATACAGTTGCAGGGCACAAACTCTAGCACCAAACCCTTTTTCCGGTGTTATCTTTGCCCACCCAAACTCCCTCTGGGGCTTGACTGGCTTCAGCTAGGAGGGGGAAGTCTTTACAGCAAGTTGTGAGCATCCCAAACCCTTCCCTTGTGGGGGCAGGAGGAGGAGGAGGATAGTGGTGGTTTCTTCTCCTTGCCTGGGATCCATTTGGGGTTGTTTTTATATGCTTGTGAACACACTGTGCACCTTGCTTTTTATTCTGTGGTGTTCTGTTTTACATGTTGATGCATCATTCCACGTTACATCTTGAACTTAATATGTTGTGCGATGTGCTTTACATACATTGAGGACTTCTTCTTTGTTCTGTGTGTTGCCTACAAAGCTGGTTTTAGCCAGCTCTGAGGATTGCATCCCATAGATGACTGGTGACTGAGCACAGGTGAGCTGTCACAGCTTCAGGGGCCAGTACTGTCCCATGTGTGCCCTTTTGGGCCCCTGCAGTCACCCCGAGCCCATACCCCTCTGTGCTGCATTTCTGCAAGGGTTGTGGATAGCTTGCTCTGCACAGAATCACTGCTCTGTCACATCTAACATCTGTTACATCTAACAGTAGGTGCCGAGGCCATTGTAAAGCTAAGCAAAAAGCTAAAACAAACTAGATAAGTTCCCTGGTTGTTAACTGGTTTTGCTGCAGTTAAATAAGCTGCAGCAAAGCTCTGAGCACCCAAGATGAGGTCAGACAAAGTCTGACAGGTTTTTGGCCTGTGTTGGTAGCTGGAAGCAAAGCCTTTACACTTTCTGTGGGTTACAAACACAACTTCTGATTTTAATTTATTTGTTTTTTTCAGGCAAGATGACTGTGATAATATTAGGTCTCTGTTACAGCCCTCCAGAGTTCTGGTTCTGTATTTTATGTGATTTTAGTATTTTTAGATAAATATATTTTTATTTTATATTTTTTTGCATTCTCTGAGATTCTCTGGAGACCAAACTGATGCAGTCTTGCCTGTGCACCTTCAAGAGAACAGGTTGTCCCCCCAAATCTGCCTGTGCTTCAGTTTGGGCTTGGTTTGCCCTTCCAGGAGCAAAGTAACACGCACTCTGCATGGGTGCTTGTGAGGGCAGGACTTAGGAGTGGAGCTGTTTGGGAGGAGTGGTGCACCCTGATACCTTCTAATATTTGTACACGATCTTAGTTTTGCAGTCATGAGCATGTCTGAGGGTCTTCATTGCACTTAAAGGCAAACAGAATAATACAGTTATGATACATAGTTTTGAAGTATCTTTCATGACTGTTATTTCAGAAGACAAAAGAACAGTCATTGCTGATCATTTGAATGTTTGCAATAACTGATACCTTCCAGCATGTGGTTAGCAATCTCTAGGACAACTGATCTCAAGCATAGCTTGCCTTCTTTCTGGGCTTTGCAATACAATTTTAGTTTTCATTAGAATCTTCTCTGACATAGGCTTGAGATCTAAAGCCACTTAGGCCTTTGACCACTTTGAAAACATGGAAGTGCTTAAAAACATTATTTTGGAATGCTGCTCCCTGAGTAAAGAAAAATACTCTCAATATTTCAGGATTACTTTCCCAGCAGCTTCCCAGTGAAATCTGTTGGGATGTTTATTCCTTTAATTCCATCTGTATAGATTATGAGGGCAAATAGATTCCAGTCACTGGAGGCAGAGTTGTGCTAACAGTGAACCAGCCCAAAAAGCTTCAATTTGTAATGAAACCTGTCTTGGCAGCTTACACTTCTGTTCTTGGCTGTGCAATTCTGCATGTATAGGCAGTGGAATAGAAAGCTGAGAAGCATGTTAAGTTTGTTTTATCGAGAAATAATACAGTGAAAAATTTACTAGTTCATTTACAGGTATGTTGTGTGCCTTGCAGTGTAAAAGATTTTTGATGGATAGCAGCTTAATTTTTTTTTTTTTTTCATGTAGTTTTCATTCCCATTTAGAAGTGGGCTAGGAGCTTATGTGATTCAACAGGTAGAACTGATGGGCTCTGATGCAAGTCCTACTTACTCATCCAGTAGAGGCTTGACGTCCTGAAGTTGGAGTGAAGGGAGATAGATGGTGAAATAAGCTTGAGAGCTGTGAAGAGTTGGTGAAAGAGACAAAATACATGGGAGGCTGAGTGTAGTCAGTAAAATATTTGCTAAACTGCTGAGAAAATACTTTTCACTGAGAAGGTGAGGAAAAATTTGCTCTATATGCTTTATTATATTCTCAGCAAGTGTCCAAAAATACAAAATAAGGTGATTTTAGCTTGATATTAGGGGATTTCTCAATTTACATAAGAAGACAGGCACGACACTTCTCATCTTATATATGCTGCAGATAGTGTGTTTACCGTGTACTTACAGTGTGGTCTCTCTTACCAGATGTAACAAGCCACGGAGGGCTGTGTTTGCGCTTTCCTCCAAAGCATGTGGCAGGAGTGAGTGTGCTCCTGGCAGTTCCTGAAGGCAGGAAGCCCGGGATGCTGTGGGGTACAAGAGCTCTTCCCAGGGCAAAGGCTGCAGGACCCAGGTACGGCCTCGGGGGCCTCCAGGGACAGAATGTCCTTGCAAATGGAGAAGAGATTTTTCAAGCTCATTGTTATGCATCATTGGAGTTTCAGAAACTGAGATATGGAAGATTTAGTCAAATTCAACAAATATCTCAATTCTAGTCACATGAATAAGTTGTTAATTTATTATTTAAAGGTTATTTAAATTATTTTCCTGAATAGCCTCAAGCTTTCACTTGTCTTCTGTTTTATTTTCCAAATATTACTTTTCCCCTCTGTCTAACCTGTAATATATATACTGAAGTAATTTCTTATTCTAGATTTAGCTGTGTTAATTTTCAGATTTCTCTTTTGGGGATGAAGTGCCTCAAATTACTGATCGTAATGCCAGTTCCTCTCCTAGGGTGATGTCTGTCACATTTAATATAAATAATAAGGCTAATGTAGCACAGCATGTGGCATAAGGTTATAGGAATCCTGAATAATTTTACAGGGTTTTTTACCTTTCTTTCTGAACCGAACAGCAAAACCATTCCCACTTTTTTCTTCTCTAAATTGTTACAGAAAAAAATACATTCTGAATTGTAACTGCTGCTTGCTGAACTGAACTGCAAAAATCTCGTGCTTCGGAGATGAAGATGATAAATCCAAGGAATAATCCAGCTGCTGCCATTGTGGCTACTGAAATGTCCTTTGTGTCAAAATGAACAGACTTTAAGAAAAATCTAGAAAGCAGTTACATCTCCAAAATGGGAGAAAGAGTAAAGAGCCCAGATTCTGAACACGACAGGAAATCAGATGGGGATAAAAATAGTGACTCCTATTATTCAGATGAAGATAATGCATCTCATTCGTCTGGCCAGTCACCAACACTAAGCTTTCCATCTACAAGCCAAGAAAAAAGAGATCACAAACCACAAATTTCAAACAGCCTTCTGCACTACCAAGGTAGGTAGATAGCAGGAATTGCTGCTTTGTAACTGCACTGAAGAGTTAATGATTTTTGAAAGCTGAAATAAAAGTGGGAAAGTACCATTGTTGAGAATCTATAAATAAGGTTCAAGTGAATTATGCTATAGATGGGAGGTAGATGGGAACTGCTCTGTTGAAAACTGAAAGTAACTTGTTCCTTCATAAGGAGGATTCTTGGTGATTCTCAGAATTGTTAAGAAAAATATGAATAAGTGGACATAGCTCTTGTACTAGCCTTTTGTTGAATCATACTGATGCTGTCTTCTTTGACAAAAAAATTCAAGGCCAGGGGCTCCAAGGCAAGTCCTTACTATGCAGTCAGTACAAGAGAGACAATTGTTAAAATTTTTCAGACAAAATACCCCTGAAGATCTGTCTCTTGTAGGGTTCTAGTAGCTTTACAGTGTAATCCTGGGTACTTCCAACAAAAAAAAAAAATAAATACAGCAACCAAAGGACCACTCATGTGGCAAGAGAGAAAATGTGTTTGGTGACAGTTAGATCTATATGGAGATTCAAAAGAAAGTTGTTTTGTGGTCCTTCCTTGAGGGTAAAATATTTCCAATTCGAGGTGAAATAGCTCCACTTTGAGATCACTTACACACACCTCACCTACATAAGTTGCTTTCTTGCTTGAGACTGTAGGGAAGTGAACACCCCTACAAAAAGGGAGAGAATGGTTATGCAGGTCCTGGGCTGAAGGAGGGGGTGTGAAGCCTCTGCCACCCTATGGCAGCTTGTTCTAGCAGTCAGGTTAGCTTTATGGGAAGTAAAAACGGCAGTTCCACTGGCCTATTTAATTTGGAGGGCACAAATGAATGACTAGGTCTTTGGTTATGTAGCCAGAACTGAACATAATCATTGTATTGTGAATGTCATGTTGCTCTTGGAAGCTGCTATTCCCCAATTTAACGGGGTGGTCAAAAGTACAAAATTGGTGTTGGAATTTTTCTGTTCTGCCCTAACTGTGGAGAAATTATGGAAGGGGCTGGAAGTCTGTAGGGTTAATGGGAATTCCCTTAGTGGGTGATAGGAGTGGCATTCTTCCTGTGGTGCAGGTATTATAGAATCTTTTCACACCTGAATGTGACATAAGTATTCTTTGTAAAGGGGGGAAAAAAAACCAAAACACTTTTGTTTGCCCAGCTGTGGAAAAAATGAGCATCAAGCAGAAAATGAATGAGCATTTGTGCAAAATGTTTAGAGGAAATGATAAGAATTTAAAGCTGTTATTTTTGCTGTATTCTCTGTAGAGTAGAAAGACAGTGAGCCCCAAAGGGGAGGAAGGATTTGCTGTCACACACTCATTTCCCTGTCCATGTGTAGGTAGCTGCACTGTTGCTGTATCCCAGCTTTCCAGCCTGAATTACAACCTGCTTCTCACCATACTTCTTCCGAATGCTGATGTACCTTAATGAATTATGCACTCTTTGTATATTCACTTGTTTCAAGAGAGATTTTTGGTGCATTGCTGTGATATTTTTATGTTGCATTTTGCTTCGTTCTTTGAATGTGGCTTGAGAGGCAAATAAGATAGGAATAAAATGTTTAGCTTTTATCTATGTGGATGATAATAAAATAATAATAATATCAAATAGGAATGTGAGTGGTGCATACTAGTAATCAAATAAGGATACTGTGTGGAAAATAACTTGTGATACAAGAATAAATTATTCAGGGAAGGACTGAATTTTCATGGGATTTGTAATTTTGCTTCGGAGGCTTTTTGCATTGAGCCTTTGAAATCTGCTGTTTTGTCTGTAAGCATGGCAGCTGGATTTGAAAATACTATTGCATTTTTCTGAGAGAATTACATCTTGCATAATACATAACTAGCTAACGCTCAGCTAATTGTTGCCATTTAAAAAGCATTTGATAATTCTGTATGCATGAGAGTACAGTATTTCTAAAACAGTCTAATAAACATAATCAAATATTAACAAAATACAACTGTTATTTCTCATGCAGTTTGCAGATGATTACTTTAAAATGGTCTTACACTGATGGCTGCAAATATTACCTCTTGCAGTACACCACAAACATAAATCTCCATTTTTTAGCTACCCGAAGGAGCCTAAGTCTGTCACTGAGATGCTTGTTATTGTCTGGTTTGAAAGCTGCACCCTCTGCTAAGCGTTGTGAAATTGTTTCAGGCAGAGCTTTATTCCAAGAGGGATGTCTGAAGAGACGAATGCATTGTCTTATAGTAAACATGCTTTTTATTTTTCCTCTCTTAGCCACAAAGAAACTGGGTTCCAAATACGCACCCAGCAAGAGAGGGACGCAGTGGGGTTTCCGTTCTCAGAGCCTGACTAGGGATTCTCCTGCAAAAGATATAGATCTTGTTACAAAAAGAGTTCTCTCTGCTAGGCTGCTGAAAATCAATGAGCTCCGAAATGAACTGACTGAACTCCACATCAAACTAGATGAGCTGCAGAAGGAAAACAGGGCACTGAAGAGGCTTCAGCACAGGCAGGAGAAAGCCTTGAATAAGTTTGAAGATACGGAGAACGAAATCTCCCAGCTCCTTGCGCGGCACAACAATGAGATTAGAATATTAAGGGAGCGCCTGCGAAAATCTCAAGAGAGAGAACGTGCCACTGAGAGGCGGCTGAAAGATTCGGAAGATGAACTGTACCGAACAAAAACTGCCTTGCAGAAACTTAAAAAGCTTTCTGCAGATAAGCACCTTGCCGAAAGAGATGACCTGGCAAAGAAACTAGCCTATGCAGAGAGCAGGCTAGAGGACAGTGAAAAAAGAATTAAGGTGAGATGACTTCCTTTTTGTAAGAAATGCTGGTACAGATATTTCGTACCATCATGAGCTCCATGAATTGTATTTTTTCACAGCTGTGGAATAAATAGAAAACCATTCTTTATTTTTCACACATAAGTAGCATCAAGTAAATTTCCAAGGTGATTGTGTAGTTACATACTGGTTAGCTGTGGATTCAAATTTCTGTTTATAAATTCAGTTTATTTTGTCAGAATATACGACTGTGGACCTGTGTTTTGAAGTGCTTTTATAAAGAGTAATAGTGTTTCAGAAATGCATGCAGCTATAATACAACTTTATGTAATCTAATTTATCCTCTTGAAGGGGGAACATTTGTTCAAAACACTTCTGGGTACTTGGGAAACTCTATACTAAAATTCTAAAAAACATATATAGAGTAATTCTTCTCCAATTTTGTAAACTGCATTCATTGCATTATCCACTGTTCTACACATCTGAAAGCCAAGCTGAACAAAATTACAGCAATTATTTTTTAATACCAGAATGCACTTTAGAACATTTTATGGGTAACCATTTTAATAATTTTGTATGCAATTTATTTTAATTTTGTACAAAAAAAAAAAGTTTACATATTTGTAAGCATGGCTAAACACATCTACATTTTAAACATGTCTGAAAACCCACCTAGTTTAAAAATAATTGTGTTAACACTATTAACCTATTGGTAGTTGTATGCAATTCTATTTTTAGCTGAAATTATATTGATCATTAAAATGGTGTTGAAGTTTGATGGCTATATATTGGTAATTAAACCTAAATTACATTGCAGAGATGATAGATCTAGAAATCCAAAAGATTAAGCTAGAAATTAAGCTTTCGTAAAATAAATCCCAAAATAGCAAGATAAAAACTGCTGAGTTACCCAAATCACTTCACCCTGTAGTGTCACCATCTGGCATCTGTAGTTTTACAATCGGGTATTTCAGCGTTTGTAGTACTGGATAATGTTAATATAAATCATACTGTAAAAAGTAAGGGAATTCCTTCTTTTCCTTTGCTCATCATCACAGGTTCACTTAAAACAGCTATTGCAAGACAAGGGTGTGCAGATGAAATCACAGTCACAAATTTGGTCCTAGTAGGAAGCTTAGAAAGGTTAAAAATTATTTCTTGTCCCCTCCTTTCAGGCAGGTGCTCTGTTTCTTAACCATCAGTTTGAAATTTGTCTTTGAGATCTGGAGTTCCACTGTGCCAAGAGCCTTGCAGAATGTAGTGTGTATTCCCATTATGTCCTCAAATCACCTCTCAGTACTCCAGAGGGATGAGCTGCAGCATCTACAGGTGCTTCATCTGCCCCTCAAAGTTAGGATTAAGGGTTTAAATGTATTTGGTGTTACAGCAATAGTGGAGTCAATCTCTGAATCCGAGACGCTGGTTTACAGTAATTTTATTTAGGTAATTTGACTATAAATAAAAAAGTATTTCAGTTATTAAGGAATAATATTGGGTTTTTTAATTTGAAGGATCTGGAAAAAAATCTTGAATTAAGTGGTAGCAGTTTCCAACGAGAGTTACAGTCAAAGAAAAAAAAGATACATGAGGCTCAAGAAGAAAACAGAATTCTCCAAGAAGAGCTTCAGCAACTAAATCAGAAACTGAAGGTAAAACGTGAAGTAATATAAGTTGCTAACCATGTTCTGGCATTTTATCTTTGGAAGTATCTGTAATCAGGTTTGAATAGTTTACCAGTGACTGCACTCTCTGACGTGTAATTATATAACACGTGTGAGTTCTTTTCCTGCTTTAAATTGAAATGTTCTGTGCCCTGACCCTACAGTGTTTATAGTGGGAATGTCTCTGCGTTAATCATTATTGTTAGCACTAGTTAGGAAAAGCAAGATCAAGTACATAGCCAAGCATTGAGAGTAAACCACAAGATCTACTGGGAAAATCAGGTTTTGGAGGCTTGAATTGAAATCTGAAGGTGTATACAGTACTTTGTTACTAATGTGCTTGCATTACAGTAGGTTTGTGTAAAGATTAATTGCATGTATTTATGATATCCACGTGTGTTGCTAAATTTGTACAAAGGTTTAGTTGCGTCCCCCAACCTTGTTGTTGCCTGAGTTCTAAATTTAAGGACTGAAAATATTATGTTCTACCTAGTCAGTTTATCTTAAGGAAAAAAAAAAAAAAGTAAATAGGACTTGAGCTAAAGTACTTCTTTTCTAGGAGAGTTTCCTTGAAACCTCAAGTCTCAAACTTACTCACATAATGGAGGTAGAACAGTTTACCACCTTCCTAGCTATCAAACAAGCAGCAGTAGTGTTAGTAACTCAAACTTACCTGTTTAGAGTAAGTGTTTTAAGCCTTTGTTAGTGGAGAGTTTGAGATTTTAAAAATATTTTCATTATCATATGGTTTCTGATAACTCACTGTTGGTTCCTGCATTGTATTCCATAATACAGTGCATAATTCCATAATACAATAATAATGGAAGAAGAACAAGTCTCTGCCTCTGCGATGCAGTGGGCCTCTGCTGTGTGGTGCTGACATGCTCTGTGACAAGTAACATCCTTAACATTGCAATGTTTGAAACTCTTGACAATTCTGAAAATTCAGCTGTACAATCTATACGCATATGTCTTATTCATGCTTATGGAAGCATTGGCATTTAGTTTTATTTTCACTGCAGAGATGCTTTTTCGTTTTCTTTCTCCCCAGAATTTTTTTGCTAATGAGTTTTTTCTGGGGAAAGTTCTAGCTACTTTCTTATAGCATAAGCGATGTTAGGAATGTGATTTTGTTCTCCTTAAAACATTAGAGCTAACTATTCATTACTTTGTTCCTATTTACAACATGTATTTTTAATTTAATTTACAGCTTGGCTCATGGCTAGTAAATGGAATGTTAGTAACTGATTAATATACCTACCTCTTTCATTCGCAGGAAAAAGAAAGAGAACTTGAAGCCAAAAATATATATGCTAACCGTATGTTGAAGCTATCACCAAGAAAAGACATGGAAAAAGAAAAAGACATTACACAAAAAAAAAGAGGTAACTCACATAAAGCAATAAGGGCAGAAAAATTAAAAAATCAGAATTAAATTCTGGTAGGTTATATCATTCATGCCATTCAGAGTTTGACCTTACAAGTGCTTCTTCAAAAACGTTCACTTTTTGCACGTTCAGCCCAGCACTAGTTACAAAGAAGGACACACTGTTTGCTCCACTGCTCTGTAACTGCAGCAGAACCAAAAGCCAGAATCAGAGTTCCTAACTCTTTCCATAGCAGATGTTCCAGGGTGAAGGATGAGGGCAAGATTGTTCAGTTAATTCACTAATAGACCATTGATTTTGTCTACATGACAATAAATTAAAGAGGCTTTAAAAATATGTGATTTCACTGCACTGAATATTTTGGTGATTTTTTTTCTTCTTAATTTTTTTTAACTAATTCAAATTTAGTCTGTCAGGTGAGCTGCACTTTTTCTTTTTCTTCACCTCAAAGAGTACCTGTGTCCTAGAACATAATCTTAAAAAAGTATCAGTGCAGTGATTTCTTCTGGTGTAACAAGGCAGCATCAAGCTTTATGGTACGCCCAGAAATACATGTGTTTATGTGTGTGTATATACATATATTTGTTTGTGTGTGTACTCAGGCTGATTTCACTGGATCAGTAGAATTTACTTATCATAAGAAGCAGGAATTTATAGGGTTGTTTTAAATATTTAGTGCCAGCATTTCAAACAGTTTGTCTTCTGCTCATTTTATTATAGATGCTCTATTATTACTCTATTTTAGGTTCAGATTTTTTCAAATGCCATTCCACAGGGAGAAGTGTATGTGTTTCAAAGATGCAAATAAGTGAATTCTAATGTTATGAGTTTGCTTCTCTGTGTAGCTTCTGTGACAAGCAGTAAGATGAGTGAGATATTTTGTGGGGATTTTTAACAAATACTCAGTATACTGTAATGACTTTAAGTAGCTTTAGGGTGGGTTTTTATTTTTTTCAGTAGAAGTTTTGCATACAATTTTTTTTTTTTTTTAATTTAGTCCTTAACAGATGCTAGAAACAACTATGTAAAAGATGTCAATATTTTACACTTCCATTGGCTCCAGTACAGTCCTTTGTTTGCTGCGGATCATTAAAAATGAGAAATTGGTATATAGTGGGATATTTTCAAGTAGAAACACAATTTAATTAGTTTGTATTTTCTACAGCCAACAACCAAAATGTTAAAAAAGGAGCACAGCTCACAAAAGGTGTGCAAACCAGTGGATACTTCTCACCAGTAGAATTTCTTCCAGAATCAGAACTTGTCTGTGGTGACACAGTAAACAAGAAAGAAGGAATTCTTCCTAAAATAGTGAGTTCCGTAAAAATTTGAGACTTGCTCCAGGTAACTCACCTATCAGACTGAATGTTTAATACAGAGCTTGCATTTTAGAAAATTGTGTATATAGACAAATATAAGTATAGAGAATATATAATTTAGAAAACATTCTGATCTTCAAGAGAGACTCTACCCTTCCAGAAATATAACACTTCATTTTCGTGACAGTTGAATTTCTATGTCTTACTGATAACTGTTAGCTCAATTTGTTTCTTTTTCTGCTGCTGTCATTTCTTTGAAGTTTTTAAGACTTCATTTTCTCCCCTTTTTCTTTATTTCTAATGCTTATGTGAACAATCTGTTGTAACACTGCTGGCTGCCTTGTCTCTCTTTTTGCTTTGGTCTTAATTATGGTCTCTTTTTCTTTCCAGATTTGTTTCACAATGCATAAATCTAACACTTCCTCTCATTGTCATAGCACTGGTATTTCTTCTATCGTTTTTCCAGCTTTGTGAATATGGTTGGATTTTTTTTTTCCTTTTCCACTTCCCTTTTTATTATGAAATAGAACCATTTAGAAGTATTGTTAATACTTCTATGGCTTCAGGCTAAAATCAAAGATTTGTAGGCTATTTCAAATTGAAATGGCACTAATTCTGGTACAAACTGTACAAATTCTGATTACATAAGGCTAGGACTATTGTCAGAAATAATGTTCTAGTGATGGTCTTGACTGGCTTCCTGGTAGGACTGAAGCTTTTTCATGGCTGTTTCATTCGTATGTTCTCTCTCCCAAAATCCTTTCTGTAAGTATGGATGCAGTTTAATGTGAGCATTCTTCCAGCATACACTTCTGTGTGTGAGTTGCAGAAGCCCACAGTTGGTTGGTGCAAGTGCAGCTTATGGAGTCCTTGGCATCTTACAGACCTCTCTAGCTTGTGTATGGTTACTGCTTTAAGTAATGTGAATTACATTTGGGTAGCCTGTGCTTTCATCAGTTTTACAAGTAAAGCATTTTAAATACTTGGCCACTATCTCTTTAGGAAATTCGATTTGTTTTGGTTTTAAATATAGTAATGATAATCATGTATTTGAAGGGAGAATGCATGGAAGGTGTTTTGGCTAATAGTAATATTTTCTTTGTTAATTAAATAGTAACTGTTTATCTTATTTCTATTAGAAGTGTAGTTTAATCTAGACGTTTATTTTCCTCTAAAATAAGCACAAACTACAAAGTTAACATCCACATGTTGGATTATACTGGCCTTCTTTTCTTCATTGCCACTATTTTTCTGCGTTAGTGATTTTTACTGCTGACATTAATACCTTTTCTGCAGGTTCTGTCCTTTTAAATGTCTCTGTATGCTCACTCACTGAATTCTTCAGGGAAGATTAAACCTTTCTCTTTCACTGTTTGTTATGTAGTACTCCGAAACTTTAAGTACCACTGTGAAACTCTCTGAATCTCCAACACGCTCACCTGAGTAAAAAGATGAGATTGTGGAAATGGATGGCAACAAACTGATTATTAAAAGCATAAGGTGGTGGGGTCTGGCCTTCTATTAAAAAAAAAAAAAAAGACAACTTCTGGCTTTTACAGAGAATTAGCCTAACACAGTGATAATTTTTCTGCGTGGTGTTAGAGCTGCAACTTCCCTGAAACATGTAATATAGAATAAAGTTGATTTATACGCCCAAAACAAAATTAACAGATAAACTACACTAGAGGTGATCAGATCCTCAGGCCACACCCCTGGGTTGTCAAAACTGGTTTGGTTTAGATGCCTTAACTTGGTTTTACATTTAGCAGTAAGAATGTGATTTGAGAGTGACATAGTAATTTGTATGAATTTGTTTGTTTTATTTTTCCCCACCGCTTGAAGTTTTGTGTTAATTTATTTCAGGAAAAAGAAACTCCAGAAAAAGGATGGAAAGTGCAAGCAGATCTAAAACAAGACCAAGACAGGGAAAGGCAAGAGAAACCAAAACGTTTTCAGGAAATACAGGCTTTAGAGGAGAGGGTTCAAAAACTTCATGATGGTAAGGAAACGGGCAGCTTAAGACTGGAAATACACCACAGAATACTAATCAAGTGAGGCTGCCAGTGTCTTTTGAGGAGAGCAAAATGATTTTGCAGAGATCGCTTCAGTGGGAAATGATTTTCAGTTACATTATGCAAAGAGAATCAGAAAGAAACACGGGATATAGAATAAATCTGTGCCCTGCACTCAGCTGTGAATAAGTATGCAGCAGCAAAAAATGCTGTCCACAAAAAAAATGCTGAAGCCTCAGAGATTTTGCCTTACAAAATGAGTATGACATAGCAGGTAAATGCTGGTGTTATCTCAGACTTGCTAGATGTTATTGAGGTAGGCAGTAGGTTTTTTACTCTTGTAGAACAAATTTGCTTTCCTTAATATGGCCTGCTTTCTACACATACCTACTTCACTTGTATCATTTGAAATTGTGGTTTCTCTTTTCACTTGTAGTTATCTGAATTATTTGGGGTGGCTATTTGAGAAATGACAATTTGTGTCCTTACATTTTAATATTTTTTTTTATTCATTTTGTTTCCACATCTGAGTTCTTCTAGATGGCTGCATCCTGTCATGTTAAAATACTCTTTTTAGTGATGATAGTTGATGAACAGTACCACTTATTCTAGATGACAAAAAAAAATTCTAAAAAATGTATAGAGACTTTCAGAGGTAAATTCTTTGAAAAATTCTACCTCCACTGGCATTAATGCACAACTTACATAAGCCAAGACTGCTCTGTTCTGTCTTGAAGTTAGATGATTTGACAACCTTACCAATCCATCTTACAGGTGTCAGCTGATATTTTCCCATCCTTACCTACAGAAAGGTATCTCCTCAATTAGCTTGGTGTATTGATATGCTATTGAGAAAAAATAGGAACTGAACTGTTGCAGTTATTTTTGTAAACTTGATCTGAAGTACAGTAGATAACAGATCTTTGTGAAAACATCAGTCAGGAATTTGAATCAAGCATTCAAAAAGCAATGCCAGTGTTTTGAAGGGGCCAAACAGTCATGCTCAACTTTTGGCTAAACACGTCTGTTGTCTTGGCAGAAAAATATTTTGAAGAGAGAAATATTTGAGCAGCTTTCTCATACACATAAGCGTTTGCAGGGTCTGTCTAGAAGTTTACTGCTGTTTGCACCTTTGCTGTCCCTTTATAGCCGTGCAAACTGACACTTGGTATTTGCACAGGCACTCGTTGAGTTCATGTGGTGGTGCAGAGAACACTCATGTGAACGTGCTTTCTGTATGCAGTAGATGCAGTATGTTTTCAGTCTTTTACTACTTGAAACCAGTAATGTCTCCTGTGACTTTGTGGCCTGATAACTTCACAGGAGTAGTTCCCTTCATGGAAAAAAAAATAAACCCCAAACATATATTGCAGAACCTCTAATATCAGTGGTGCTGCCAAAGAAAAGAGCAGTGCAAGTCAGAACTATTAAAGCCAGTGATACTGTGTTCATTTTCAGTCAAACCCAGGAAATGGGAAAGCAATTGGCAGAAATTAAATTGCTCTGAAAATTCTGAAATGTTGATAATGTCCTAATCCCTCTGGAAGATGACAGTAAAATTTCATATCTTAGAGAACCTGGTGCAAATTTAGTTGTACTTTTTGAAGAATTTATTTCTGCAGTAGAAAAATCAAATTATGCATAGAACAGCATATTAAAAACTCAGTGGCTTTTGCTTGCATTATTTTCAAAATAATGTTTTAGAGTCATTTTAAAACTAAAACATTTTAAGTAACGTTTTAAACATTTCCCCCAGAGTCGGAAAGGGAAGAATATGACAAAATGAAAAAAGAAAGCAGCTTTTTATTGGATAAAGAAGGGAAAACAAAGATGGAGACAGAAATCCAGAAAGCTGAAGAAGAAAGAAGAAGCACTGAAATGCTGGAAGAGGGGCGAAAAAGAGAGTTCCTGCTTGCTAAAATGCAAGAAATTGATAGAGAAACTCAAAATGTAGCAAACATGAAACCTTCTTCCCAAGCACCACTCATAAATACAGCGAGAAGATCTGATTCTGTGGAGAAAAAAGAAAAAATTTACCAGTTCTTTGAGGTTCCTGGGAAGGTTACTAATGGATTTCCTGCAGGTGACAACCAGGATGATGCCACAACAGGACAAGGACAGAGGCAACGAAGTGTGAAGACTGTAGATTTAAGTAGTGAGTTAACATTTGGTAGTTATGTACCTTCCTTTGGGAAAGGATCAGGGAGACCGAACTGGCTGACTCAAAAAAGTGGCAACTTAGAAGAAAATGTTAAAGAAAACGCAGATTTCAATAATAAGAAAGAGAAGAAGTCCAATTTAATGGAACAGCTCTTTGGAAGCAGTGCCAGTACCACACTTCTTTCTAAAAATAATGATACAACACCTTTTGACATAGATTGGGACTCTAGTAATACTCTTCTTGTCAATAAGAACAGTAAGGTCAAAGCAAGAGAAGACAGTGAGCTTTTCAGTGAAGGAAGGATCCTAAACAGGCACCACTGGCAACACACTAGAAGCAGGCCAGGTGTTAAGACCCTTGGTTCTTTAGAAGATGAAATTGAAGAAGTAGTCTTACAATGATCATATTTTTATGTTTCATATGTAAATAGTAAAAAAATATTTCCATGTAATATTTATTAGATACTGACTCGCAACATTTTTAGTTATATCGTAAAGCCTTACGAGGGGATAATTTACATAAATGGGTATATGTATAGAGGAAAGATGCACTTCAGTAGAACAGCATAACCTATAAGCAGGAAATTCTTCTAAAGTGTCAGCAGCTGTAAGGTTGTTCTTGCTCTCTTTCTCTTGCCAGCACTCTCTACATTTTTGAGACTCACTGATGTGTAACAGTATGTTAAGTAAAATGATATTTCTCACAAGGGAGCATTACTATTTATTGTGGAATGAGTTGACTAAAAGAGGCAGCAAGCTTCATGTGGCAGCCCTGGCATGCAGGACAGCTACTAGATGAACATCTCTGGGTAGCCAGCATACAAGTGTTGGGTTTTTTACCTGTAGCCTGCTCCACAGTTTCTTGCTTGTCATTTGGAGTACTTCTTTTAGGCCTCAGATATTTTATTTCTCAGGCATTTGGAGAGCCTCTCAACTGTGTCAGGTGAAGGCATGTGTAACATCAGTGTCAGGAAATGGGTAGAAGAGAGGTACCTAGCACAGAGGCTCAGGCACAGAATATTCTACATTGCAGTTGAGTTATGTCAGAAGAGCACTGACAGAAACAATCAGCTCAGGAACAGTTGCTCTCTCTTCTGCATAGGCTTTCTGTAGACATTACTACCAAACTTGTCTAAATCTTCTCATATATTCAGGTTATATTTATTATATGATGCCATTTTTTGTAATTTCAGATTTTTTCTATGTAAAATTTCAATCATTGCTAAGTCATTTTTTAACAAAATGGTTTTAATAAATGACTTGAGTAAAATTTTTGTGACTGGATCATCTTTAACACGAAGTTTTGGTTTCTTTGCTGTGTTGTTTTTGTTTGTTTGTTTTGTTTTTTATATCATGTTGTTATTATTGGGCAGGAGAGGGAGGGTTGGTAGCAGACTGCTAATGATGTTATTCACTGCATGAGGCCATGTACACAACTTTAAAAGGTAGGCGGCGAAGGATTTAGCAGAGGCATTCCAGAAAATAATATGAAGGTCATTGCTCACTAGAACAATATGTTTTGAAATGCCTCTCTGATACGCTCCTCATGAGCCTGATTCAAAACATACTAACATACAGAGAAGAATTCTCATGATTTCAAGATGCTTTGAGTCAAGATTTCTCTAAACACAATGGCTCTTCTGAAAAGAGAGGCTGGTGTCCACATCGTGCAATAACTTTGTTTGCTCCCCCATTCAGAAAGACAATTAGTCACAGATCCTGACCCAGCGTGTGGGACCGTTGTGCCTAGGCACCTTGTAGTGAAGAGCAACTCATGTTCACCTGCCTGCTTGCAGTGCCCTTTACAGTCATTAACACTGCAGAATTTGGCTGGTTCGTTTTGCTTGAGGATGGTCAGAATACTAGGGCAGTTCTGACCAGGAACAGGGAATTTAACTGCTGCTCTTCCACAGCGACTTCTCGGAGGAGAGCTGTGGTGTGAGAGGTGGGAGAAGTCCATGGGTAAACACTGTGGGTGTCTGTGGGTGGGTGGTTATTTGTCCTAACCCTCTTGTCCTGCTTGTGAGTGACAGCTGCCCTGCTAGAAGGTGGTGCTTTGCTCCTGGAGGTACTGCTGGGGTGGGTGGTTTATTTTCCTTTCCTGGGGCTGAGGATTCTAAGGCATAAATCAGTGATGTAGCTCCTGTGGTTATTAATGATCATGTAGTGAATGGAGAGTCGGGGTTTTGTTGCTTTGCAAGTCAACACGTTAACATTTGGGAAATTTTAACTATCACACTGAACTAATGTGCCCTGCTGTTTCAATTACAAACATATTGTTTCTAGGCTGTTTCATATAATCACCCCTTCTTAAGTTCCCAAATGTTCACATCCTGTTACCAGACTCTTCCCGAACGCTGCAGTGACTTGCACAAAAAAAAAGCTGTATCTGCATTAGGAGGATGAAAATAAATTAATCTGCTGGAAACAGGTGTCACAGGTACAGTTTCCCTTTTCCCCTTGATGCTCTCAGTCTCTACAGTTTGTCTTTTCTTGCTGCACGTTCCAGTTTTACTTTTATGCAAATATCATTACAGTTAAAATATATAAAGCCAGTGCTTTGAGCAGGAGTCTTATGTGTGTGGAGGGGAAACCTTTGGGTCCTTCTAGCATCTGTAAGCAGTGTTCCTGCTTTCTTCAGTTTTCTACTGACTGGAAGCAACTTCTACAAGGTCTTCAAGGGGTCTAAGGAGCTTGCATTTGGGCACATTGCCCTGTAGTCCTCTTGACCCCTGCTCTCAAGTACTGTATCCAGATAGTCTGCATGTCACTGCTGGGGGTGGCTGTGTTTAATAGCACTTGACTGACTGCAGAAGAATCCATCTTTTGCAGTAAACAGGTCATAAATGCTTTGATAATGATTTGTGTATGATTTGTTGTCTATGTCCAGTTGGGGATTGTGTCTGTCAAGTGTTCAGATCATGTGGCTGTTGGATCTGTTGTGTTTTGTTTTCCCTTTGAACCACTGAAGGCGACATGAGAAATTCCTCTAGTCTAACAAGAGAAGATCATTAAAGCTTGATTAACTGTTTTGGTGGAATATTCAGGGAGATGGTTACTGCCCTGGCCAAACTGGTCTTCCAGTTCTGATCTCCAGACCAGTCATCAAACAAAAGTATCTGAGAAGCATTTGATGTAAGTGGTCAGGTGTCAGGGATCACCTGGCAAAGAAGACAGGAAGTTTTAAGAACAAAGATGTCTCTCTTTGAGAGTGGAGATGAACAGTGGAGGGCAGGGGTAGTGTAGCAGATCATTTGTAATCCAGGAGAAGAGGTGCAAGCTGTAGGAGAACTTTCGATGCACTTCACAACTTTGAACTGAAGCTTGAAGAACACTACGGTGGTAAGAAAAGTGAACTGGGAAGTGTTTAGACGTGTTGAATATTTTTTTCAGATTTGTGGTATCTTTTGGCTAGCTAAAGAGGAAGAAAAATGCTTTTTCAGAACCCTAAAGATCCTGTGTTTCTGATTTTGCTTTGCCTGTTGTATACATGCCCAAAGGGCTGAATTGCAAATCTACCTCTAATGCTTCCAAAGCAGGAATAAGCTGCTTGGTAGCTTCAGGTTCATTGCTGGTCCTGAGACAGAAGGTTTAATCAGCAAGCTCAGAGCCTGTCTGCACTGTCAGGAGCTGTGAAAGAACATCTGATTTGGCATGTTAGGAGTAGGAATTTGTTTAGAGAAACATCTTGGGGCAAACAGCCACAAGAGCAGCAGCAGGACTTTTGCTGGTACTTGTGCTCTAGCAAGTGCTTCAGATGAGCCTTTGCTGTTCAAGAAAAAAATTGTGCACAGTGCTCTAAAGCAGAGACCAGCAAAAACTGGCAAGGCAGAAGTGAGCACCTTCAGGAGAAGGGAGCTGCCGGCTGCAGGAAGGGAGATTTTGTTCCCAGAGTCGCGTGGCTTCGCTAAACCTGACCTGCTCTTGTTCCTAGATGACAATTTGAAGCACAGGAGATGCCCCGGGTGACATTTCTCATTTATAGAATTCTCTTCTGTTGGATCAAATTTAACTTGGTCTCCTGTTTCAAATTATCTCTTTGATTAGCTGCAAAGTTTTGATGTCTGCAGGAGGAGAACAATTGCATCAGTGTGCAGAGTCAGCCGGGACAGGTGGCTGCTGGGGAGTTACTGGGATACCTCTCTTAAAGGTACGATTCAATTGATTAACCACCAGCCCAACTTGCTTGAGAAATATTTTTCCTATCTTTGGTTTCTGCTGGCATCAGCTGTGCATCAGATGTGCATGTGTGTTTAGAGCAAGCTACAGGTTGTCACATGTGTCTTTTGCCTGCTTTTGATGTGCACAAACCCTCAGTGCCCCACAGCAGAGAATCTAGAGCAGCTATAGAAGCAAATCCAGTAATCTGTAAAATGGGAGAGGAGCATCAACTGCAGAGAACCAAGTGAAGGTTTGACTTTGGAAATGCGTTTTTTGGCATATAACTGAGGCTTAACTTGATACCTGTGAAAGATGCAAGAGAAGTTTTCATCTCATCATGTATTATTTTCTTTCCCTGCTCTGAGCAGGGGATTGGACCAAGAGACCCGCTGAGGTTCCAACCAAAGCCATCCTATGACTCTGTCATCCTGGACACATCCCACTGGTACTAATCCTTCCTTCCGGCACAAATCCTTTGCACAAAGCTCCTTCGTGCTACTTGCACAAAGTTGCCTCAGACACCTCCTGTGTCCCCATCTGTTCTTAAATATGACAGCACTGTATTCAGGACACAAACCCTAACTCGGCGCTCTCTCCACAACAGCTGATCTATGCATGCTTATCCTTCCAATGCTCTTTTGTCTCCCTCCTGGTTCCTGAAATGTTTTGTTCAAACTTTGTCTCCAGGACCTTCTGATATCATTTCTGTGATGCTTGTCCCACGACCCTCTTTCTTCCTCTAAGTTTGATAAACTCCTCTTGCTGCTTCCGCTGTGTCTTTGCTCTTGATGGACCATCATTCATTCATTCATTCTGTCTGAACAGTCTACTGCTTTTTGTCCCCTCTTCTCCTTAAGTTCTTTTTATCTTCTCTCCCACAGTTTTTCCTCACTCTGGACATCCCTACCAGCCATGTGCTGAGTTTCTTCTCACCCGTGGATGGAAGTAATGTTGTAAGAGGTTAGGAGACGCCTCACAGGAAGGGGAGGTGATTTCACTTGTACTCACACAGCTACGTATGAGAACTAAGATGCATCTACTCAAGTGGTCTGTTCGGTGGCCAGGTACAAAGATGCTTGTACCCAGCTGGCCTGGGTACAAGGCAACCCAGCTAACAAGGCTTTCTGGCCCCTAAGTCCTCCTCACGTTTCCTGGTCGCTGCTTTGACTAGGAGGGTGGCTAACTTTCTAAATGCCTTTTGTGCCCTTGAGGAGCTGCCTATGATTTTTATATCCATCCTG